AAATTTGCCACTGGTTATTTGTCTGCTGACATGTGAAAGTATCACTTTTGCTTTTTCACAATGCCTATTAAGCAGGTTTTTTATTATGTAATCAATCCAAAAGTCTTAGGATCCTGGTTTGAATGCTTGAGTGAAGGAAACAGCCATAAAAACACAGTAGACAACTATATGAGAATCTGCCAGAGGTATATGTTACTGGTAACATGTAGTTTAATTATAGACACTCAGGCACTAAACCTTAGCTAGGTCTCAGCCTGGCCTCCAACACAGTGGCACATTTGCTCCCATTTAGATGCCTCACTGCCTGATTTGGTGCAATCAGGTAGTTAGATTTTAAATGAGTTCAGTTTTGTACCCACAATGAAATGTGATCACATAACACCACTTGCAGTATTACAAGCATTTGTAACCGTTTAGGGACAGTAACTCACTGTCCCAAGTGAGTTTTAGTATGTATTTGCTGATCAGTATCGGTATTCCCTGTAAGCCAAGTACTTTGGGTGGCCACCCAGGAGAGATTCAAATGCTGCCCAGCTGATTAACAGAGTGCCCACAGCTGGCAGCATGTGTTGCTACTGGGGGCACACATGCCTTGGTGCACATAGCAAAATTTATTCTGCACATGGATAGAAAAAAAATTAGAGGAAACTGATCAGCACCATTTATAGCACAAGAGGTTTTTTTGTACAGTAAAGCATTTGTATTCAGACTATTCTTTAAGCAGGAAATATTTATTTGTTAAAGGAGAACACTTTTGCTAATTCTAATCTTCCATGAGCTAAAGTGAAATATTTAGTTGAATTTTATTAATGTCATAACAAGCCTTTGTACTACCTGAAACACATTGGATAATTTATTGTAAAGTTAGGAAGTAATTAGGTTATTGGCATTATGCCAATCACCCTATTTTATTATCTTAGCTTTGGATCTTGTGAAGAAGCTGTTAGTAGTGGATCCAAATAAACGACTTACAACGGAACAAGCCTTAGAACATCCCTGGCTTCAGGTATGTGTTGACTTGTATCTAAAGAACAGTACAGTAGTAACATTCTTGGAGGGGAACTTGCTATTTGTTACTATGTGGCATATGTAAGACTTAATTCACAAGAAACATTATAGCTAGTTAGACTAGCTAAATAAGGTGGCGTAGAACAGTCTCTCATGGCTAAAAAGCTCTTTCTTAGTGAAAATTCAACAGTAGCTCTGTGGTCTGTCTTTGCAGGACATTTGTAATGTCTGAAGAGGAGTGAGCCAGCATTTAAGGAAGAGTAACTGCTGTGGTCATTAGAGACCCAGACAGGATGTCCGATCCTTGCTTGAATTGAAGTGATTCCTTCTGTGACTTCACTATCATAAGACAAGCAATGGTGCTTGGTACTAGAAAATTCCTATTTTGCATTCTCCAGGTTTGAGTCACAATTCTGTACCTTTGCAGTCCTTTGGATCTCATGGAATGGATTAGCTGGGTACAGATTTACATTTTAAGCAGTTTAGTTTACAGTAATCATCACTAGATGGGTTTTTAAAACTGCAATTAATTACAAGGGATAAAAGATAAGTGGGAGTGGCATTATAAACTAGATGAGAATTTGAGTTGTTTCAGTGAAGTCAACTGAATTTGTTAAAATTCTGTCTTATTCCTCCTCTGTGGAAGGCTCTGATTGCCATGCTGTAATTGTAGTGAGACTCTGGGCGCTCAAATCAGAATAGAGATCCAAAGATTGTCAGAGGTGAAAAATGGTGCTTCGGTTAATAAATGGCCATAATGGGACAGTGACGTCAGACACTAGCTTTGCCAAGACACACATACCAGGTCATTCTTAAATTGACAGATATGGCCTGAGGTATCGTCCGGGAAAAGTAATGCTTTATCCAAAAGAAAATCTGACACACTATTCAGCATTTAATAGACCTTGCATATTTTCATCACAGGAAGGGACTGGTAATAATTGGGAAACTGAACAGTGCCTGTGGTCAAGAGCAGCACACAGAGCAGCTTGCACGTCACCGGTGAGGCAGTTGTCAGATGAGCCAGTGTGCTTGACATTCTGGGACCTAGTACTGGGTTGCCACTTCTAGTTTGAAACCCATTGCTATAGGCCAAGGCTGGGCAAAATGCGGCCCGGGGGCCACATCCAGCCTGCCTAACACTCTGATCCAGCCTGCAGACTGCATCTAGCTGCTTTCTATTTTTAGCCTGCTACCCATGCCACCAAATTTCTAGGCGCTGGCTCAGGCAGCAGTACCCTATTTAAAAGGCTCCTGGTCACAACACTACCTTTAAATAGCCATAGCAACCCCAGGCGGCTGCCAGGCAATACAGTAGCATTGGAGCTAGGAGCCTCAGACAACTCTGGGTGGGGAGGCTAGTCTCCTACTTTGCCCTTTCTGCCCCAGGCCCTGCCCCTTCCGGGGCAGACCCGGTCCAGGACTAGGACCAAAATTCATTGTTACCCCCCTGCGAAAATTATTGCCCACCCCTGCCCTAGGCTGTGGGCTTTGCCCTTCAGCCAATCCTTCCCAACTTCTATTTACTCTTAAAAAAAAAAAGAAAAGAACAAAAAAAAAAGCGTCATCTGAAGAAGTAAATTGAGCCAACAAAGGGTTATGATCTATATTTTTTGGTTATTCTCTTAAGGTGCTACAGCACCATTGTTTGTTTTTCTAAAAATGTGTGGTCACATTGTTAGCCCCTCTCCCACTTTTTACCTTCCTTCCCCATTGTTCATTCATCACTGACCCTGCCCATTTCATTCCCTTTTTTTATTTAAAGTTTTAAGAGGTAGGTCTTAAAATCTCAGCCAGCTTTCAGACTGTCTGTTTTTAGTGTTCTTTGGTGCCCACAATCACTTCTCTGTAGCGTATGATGAATCAGCAACTATAGCAAAAACATAAAAATAGAGCTCTGCAGACCCACGGATATCTGTGTTATATTCAGGGCTATCCACGTCCAGAGCTGCCAGTGTGGATATCCATGGCTCATTTTTGCAGATACAGATGTGGATACAAATTTTATATCTACTCAGGGTTCTGCATATAAATCGTTGTAAACTTTCATATAGTTTCCTGCAGCTTTCATAAAGTAAGTTTGTTTTGAAAACTCCCTTCAAATGAAAGTTTTTAATTCCCCCTCCCACCAACATAGGTTGAAGAGGATTGAACAGAGTTCCCTTAAGAGTCCTTAATGCCTTTCTTGACTCGCTTTTGTAGGATTTACTGCTAAGTGTTCAGTTCTTAAGCATTCCCAGCCCCTGGGACACTGGTCCTGGGACCATAACTTGAGGCTCAGATGGTAGTGCAGTGCCCAGACCTCAGGACTCAGGACCAGCCATATCTTTTTTCCCCAAACTTTCCATGTTACTAACTGATTATAATTCTTCACAGGATGAAAGTATGAAGAGCACATTTCAACAACTATTCACACAAACAAGAGTCTCTATGCATCCACCGCAGACATCAAAACTGGTATGTTCTTTTCTTGCTGTGATTAGTTTGCATTTTAAATACATGTCACCTGGCCTTAATGGGTCACAGCTGAGAGTGCCAGAGTCAGAATAAACTGCTGGAAAATAAGGCAGAATCATCCCAAAATTGTGGTTATTCTGTCATTAGATTATACTGAACCAGTATCAAAAATAAGCTTCTGTCTCGCTGTGGTGGTTAACAAGAAGTAAAAAATGCAGTTTCTCTTAGGCATTTAGGCCTTGCTCTCACCACTAGACTAATGAATGGTTACTAGTTTAATTGTCCTTCTCAAGAGGTCAACTACTTAGCCTGGTAAATATATATATAACTCAGCTCGTACCCAATAATCACGCTGCTGCCAATCTTTTAGCTAACATGTAGAGGTTTATTAAGAAAAGAGGAGAGTTAAAGTAATAGATCATGTGCATATAATAATAATTGCAGTGTTCTTGTATCAGGTTTGTAGAAGAGATGTCATAGACCAGTTAATTTACTGAATGCTTGAGCGTTGTACAACAAGATAAGTTTTCAGAAGTTCAAGAGTCAGGGCACACCTGCTGAGGTTCATGTCTTCAGCCACATGGGGAGGGGCATCTGTGGGCTTCTGCCCCATGGGAGGTACCTGCTGTGGCTCAGGACTTCAGCCCTGCTCCTACTGAAGCCCCAAGCGTTGGCAGGCACATACTGCAGACCTCATGCCCTAAGATCTCATGGTGATTATATTCCACCCCCTCCCCCAGATTTTTGCCAAGGTTTACTGGCCCCACTGGGTCATGTGGTGTTGTCAGGCCACCTCGCCGCATGGCAAGTGGGGAGCTGTGGCCATGAGAAGTGGTGGCAGCAGCTGGGTTCTGCAGGGAGAACTACTGCTTTTGCTGCTGCTTCTGCCTCTTCTTACCCTCAGTAACACCTCCCTGCAGCTCCTAGCTGTTAGCTCCATGTCCAGTGGCTGCTTTAGCTCTGTGGGGAGAGACAGCAGGAAAGCTCCCTGCAGCTCCCAGCTGTTTGCTGCTGCCTCATCATGCAGAGTGAACACTGGGAGCTGCAGGGAGGGACTGCTGAGGGTTAGATGGGATGGGTGTGTTTGAGGGGGCATGACTCAAGCTGTTGAGGAGAGCTGAAGCTGAACCCCCCAACTGTACCCTCTCCCCCACTCTCAGCAGGCACCACTCATCTCTGGTGGAAGCTCCTAAACCCACCACCCTGCCGCAGGGTAGAAACCCAGAGAACCTCCTCCTCCCTCAGTCTGATTGGTGAAGAATGAGGGAGTGTGGGGGCTCCATGAGCTGCACATCACCTGTAAAGGAATCCCATGTGGCTTGTAAATCACAGCTTGCCCACCCCTGTTCATAGCTCCCCCAAAAGCTGCACAGCTTCCCATTAAGCCTTGCTTAGGGCTGCGGTGGGGAGAGATGCCTCTACCCAAGCCCAGAAGCTGCACGGTTGGTGGGGGAGAAAAGAGATTTAAGGGCAGAAGCTTTCTGACATTAGAGGATCAATGTGCTTGCTGACTGGAGATGCTGTTGCCAATTCCCATGATCTTGAAGATGACATAAGAATTATCCCATTGAGAGAGGTATAAATCCAGCTCACATGCCTTGTTTTAATATGCCTTGTAATACGTACTTAAATTGTTTATCACAGTTTAAGTCTGAAAGAAATTTGTTGCAATTCCTTGATGAGATTTTTTTTTTATAGATCATCCTTTGCAGTGTTCTTAAGGTTGGTGTCAGTCCAGGAAAAATTGACACATGAGGAGTGGGGGGAAGAAGAGCGTTGAGATAACCCAGAGAAATTAGATTTACATTAATTGTGAGCTCCCTAAATGACAGATGATCAAGAAAGAGGAAAATGTTGTCCTATCAATTTTGTGATGGACTGGTAATGGGGACTGGTAATGGGGAAAGTGCAGCTGATGATAAAAACTAATAAAAGAAAGTTCTTCTTCACACAGCGCATAGTCAACCTGTGGAACTCCTTGCCTGAGGAGGCTGTGAAGGCTAGGACTAGAACAGAGTTTAAAGAGAAGCTAGATAATTTCATGGAGGTTAGGTCCATAAAAGGCTTTTAGCCAGGGGATAGAAATGGTGTCCCTGGCTTCTGTCTGTCAGAGGCTGGAGAAGGATGGCAGGAAACAAATCGCTTGATCATTGTCTTCAGTCCACCCTCTCTGGGGCACCTGGCATTGGCCACTGTTGGCAGACAGGATACTGGGCTAGATGGACCTTTGGTCAGACCCAGTACGGCTGTTCTTATGATGATTCTGAATCTTTCTCCTTTGTTCATGGTGTTTTTGTTTTGTTGTCATATGGGAAGTAACAAAGAGGGTTTCTTAATCACCTTGACTTACAGTAGGTGTAATTGTTGGGCTTTGCCTTCATTCCAAACATATATCAAAATTAAACATGTTAGGTATTTGGGTTTGACTTACGTAGTCCTGCTCTTGACTCTTTCTTTTAGCCAACAACCGCAGCCAGAAAACGTCCCCATGAAAAAGAGGAGGAATCTGTCTCTTCTAAGCATGCTGTTCCTTCTACATCATTTCAGGAAAAAAAAGTGGAAGAAAGTAAACTGTCTTGAATTTTTGTTTTTGTCTATGGTTTATACAGATTTTTATAAGATTTTTTTCTATTAATCATGGAATAATTGTTCAGTACTAATCACTGATTAATAAAAATAACTTTGTAAGAATGGAGTGACTCACTGATTTGGACAATAGCTTTTTGATATACCCAGAGAGCAGGTTCAACATGCCAGTGGCTTACCCCGCCCCACCTGGTGCTCCAGCCAGGGAACAGGGCTAGAACCAGCCCTGGGATCCTGCTCCTGGGCTGAAGCACCAGGCGCAGGTGGGTGGAACAGAGCAAGTCCCAAAGTCCCAATACTGCTTCCTGGTTGGAGAACTGAGTGGGTGCACGGAGCAAAGCAAAACAAGTCTGTCTCCACTTCCACATGGAATGGGGTAAGCGCCTGTGCCCGCTCCCCAGTTGGAGCACCAGGGGGATGGAGTGGGGCAATCCCTCTTTCCCATTTTCCAACTAGAGCACCTGGAGGAGCAGGGTAAACCTCTGAGTCCCAACTCTGCTTCCCAGATGCCGAGCTGGGTGAAGCAGGAAAACCCCCAACTCTGGCTGCAGAGCTGGGTTGAGTGAAGTAAGCTCCCAAGCTCTGCCCCTGTGGTGTGGAGTAAGCACTAGGGCATGAGGAGAGTTGTGGAGGACTGCAGGAGTGGGCCTGGATGCAAAGGGGGTGCAACATGGTCCATTAAGGCCTTCTGATGGCTATCCCTCATTTGTGAGGATTTCCATGGAAATAAGATAAAATACCAAGCAAACTACCACCTGCTCTCAAACATCTTTCTAGGGTGAAGTTATCCAGGAGGTGGTGATAAGCCAATGGTTTTCAAACATTTTTTTTTCTCCTGACCCCGTTGAAGAAAATTGTTGATGCCCATGACCCAATATAATTTGACTGGAGTGTGGGCTCTGAAATGGGGCTGAGGATGAGAGGCTTAGGGTGCTGAGCCTTGGGAGGTGTATGTCAGGACAGGGGTGGGAGAAGCTTACCTTGAGAGGCTTCTTGTTGGCAGTGCAGCGGAGGTGCTAAGCAGCCAGCAGCAGGTATGGAGCTAGTGTTTGGGGCACTCTCTCCCCTGCCATATTGGAGCCAGGCCTTTTGCTGGCCACTTCCGGGGCACAGCACAGTCAGCGGTGCCAGGTAGTTGCCTTAGCACCTTCACTGATCAGTCTGCAGCAATGAGATCGATCCAGTGCCGGGTAATGACCCATAGTTTGAAAACCACTATATTAGGTCAATTGAATGAGCAATTGATTTTCACTGATAGTTTGGGCCTCTGCTGTTCTGATTTCATGCTGCTTGAATGGCACAGAGATAGTATTCACAATGCTGATGGATGACCTTAGGTCTCAGAAGTGAAATGTATCTGTTAATAGTGCTGGACTTTTTCCTTGATACTGTTTGAGAATAAGGAGCTGGCTATGGGATCCATAATGGGAATTTGTTTCAAGGTGCCACATTCATTCAAATAATCACAGAGCATTTGATGAGCAGCTGATCCACTTCCACCACAGGCCATTATTGGAAATATGCCAAAGGGCTCAAACTTCATTTTGCACTTATATTAAGCTTCTGGCAGACACTGTGATTCAGATACAATTAGATGGTAAATTCTGGGGTGACAGGGTCCATAGCTTTCTGTTCTGTAAATTGGGTCCATAGCTTTCTGTTCTAGCTGCTGTAAAATGCCATCAATATATGGTTGGCATCTAGCTCTGTCTCCTCAAAAAATATCTGTTATGTACTTTAGGAGATAAATAAGAAATGACATTATAAAAGTACAGGCAGTCCCCGGGTTAAATACAAAATAGGGACTATAGGTTTGTTCTTAAGTTGAATTTGTATGTAAGTCAGAACTGGTTCAGCTGCTGCCACTGAAACTGACCAGGGGCTGACTACAGGAAGCCAGAGGCAGAGTTGCTCTGCCCCCAGCTTCCCGGAATCAGCCTGATCAGTTTCAACAGCTGCTGAATCTGGAGCCTGGGACAGAACAGCTGGGGCGCTGCCCGGTAGGTTCCCACAGGACCTGCCCGGCAGCACCCAGATGTTCTACCCGAGGCTCCTGCAACAAAAGCCTGGTCTGCTGGGGGGGGCAGCACTAGCTGCGCCCCCTCACCCCCCAGCAGACCAGGGACACCTGAGCAAAGCCGCCACCTGGGCAGCTTTGCTCGTAAAGCTGCCCAGGCGGCGGCCTTGCTCGGGGGGCC